GCCAAATCCCGCGCCAGGAAGCTGTACCGCGAGTGGTTTGCAGCCGAAATCCATCGTAATGGACGACGAGACGTACATTTAAGCGGACGCCAAGCAGATCCCCGGCCTAGAGTTTTTCGTCGGCAAGTCCCGCCTGGATGTTCCGGGGAAGTTCCGGAAGAAGGTCGACAAATTTGCCAAGAAGTACTTAGTGTGGCAGGCGATATGTGGGTGCGGCAAATTCAGCAAGCCGTAAATATCGACCGGCACCATCAACGGCCAAATATATAAAGAAGAATGCCTCCAGAAGCGCATGCTGTGCTTCCTCCGGTCCCACGAAGCTGACACTCTGTTTTGGTGATGGAGTGCTACGAAGCCAACGATGTTGTTTTTGTATCGAAGGAGGCAAATCCGTCAAACTCGCCAGAACTTCGACCAATAGAAAAATTCTGGACGATTATGAAGGGCAAGCTCCGGAAAACAGGGAAGGTCTTCAAAAACGCAAGGAATTGAAGAAAGAGTGGATGAAAGTGTGTAAGAAAGATAGCGTAAATGTTGCACAGGATTTGATGGGTAGCGTTAATTGCATTTTTTTCGAGTACAGTCTTTATTTATTAGGTAAAAAACAAATGTGTAGGGTGGTTCTACACTCAAAATAATCTTCTCGTCAATGCTACGTGAAAACATACGTAGATTTTTTCCATCGTACTTTTCACGTAAGAGCTACGTGATTCTCATGTAGATGCACTCATTTCGTCAAGCTTCAACGTCACATGAGTATCATGTATAATTTAAGTGATTTGGCATATGAATGTCATGGTGGTTTTCAGTACCATTGTTATTGACGATACTTATATACTTTTTATTATTTATTATTATAATGAATTTTCACAATATATAAATATAATGCCCTTTTATTCCATTAAACAAAAAGCCACAATGAAATCCGATGAAACTCTAATAATACCAATCAGGTGCAGGGTGATAACATAGAGGTTGGTGATAATCCAAGTTATTTTTCCGCGGGAACTGCTGGATTGCTTGCCACCTATCTATAAAAAATAATAAAATAATAAAGTGAGTTTTGACAATTGGAAAAAATAACCCGTATCTTATACTTACATCTTGCAATTAATTTACAAAATAACGAAAACATCCCTGTTTCTAGCCGCCATGTTGTGCACCATGCTGAGTGTCGCACTCTCTTATTTTCAGAAGTGGAAACCATGTAAGCTTTACGTGAAACGCACTTAGAAATTGTCTATGTGGAAATCACGTAAATTTCATTGGAAGCGTTAGAGTATTCAACTGAAATTTTCTTTAATATTCAAGTGGTGTCACATATATGCTACGTGAGTCACGTAAGGCTGATAGAATAGGGAAACGAGATACCTTATGTGATTTTTCACGTAACTTTGACGTGTCGATTATTTTGAGTGTATACATGTACTTAGTTCAGTATACATATATTGGATCCATTTTTGGGGATGTTTGGTAAAATGCCCGACAATTTTGCTTCACGCCATCCATAAGAGCTTGTAGAGTCGTATCCGGTACCTTTTTCTCATTTTTTATCCATTTCCTCCGCATGTCATTTGCATTCTTACTTTCTCCCTGGCTTTTCTGAGTTCCTGCTTCATCATGGCCCAAAAGGTTTCGATTGGGCGTAGTTCTGGACAGTTCGGTGAATTCATGTGCTTGGGGACAAAATGCACCGAATAAGCCTCATACTCTTCCAGCATGCTTTTTAAATAGTGAATGAAGCTAAGTCCGGTCAAAACAATGATTTTTCACTGTGCTGTCTCAAAAATTGCAGCAGATGTTTTTGGAGGTATTCATTCTTGTAAGTTTCACCATTGATGGTGCCCTTTGTGAAGAATATTTGACTTCTTTTTCCACAGGTGCAGATAGCCTGCCAAATAAGGTATTTTGATGCAAATTTCGACATCTTATTTTTCTTGGAACTTACCTTTTCCGGTGTAAAACTCCTGTCCTGGTAAAGGGTGATACGGTCAAAATTTGGTCAAGGGAAAACGCGTGTAAATCGGTGAAATCGTTTATTTAAAAAATCAAATTAAATTTCTTTTTCAAGTTCAATAAGTATAAAATTCAGGAAAAATATTCAGTTAGGCTTCCGCTTTTCCAAATCCGAATTGCCGGGCCTTACGCTTGACCCCTGCCATCAGATTTTGTACAGCCACCTTGTCCACCTTCTTCGCCGCAGAAAGCCAGTTTGCCTTGAACTGCTGCTCGCCCTTAGCAGTTTTTTGGTCTTCTTTAGGTTCCGCTTGACAATAGCCCAGTATTTCTCAATTGGGCGGAGCTCTGGCGTGTTGGGTGGGTTCTTGTCCTTGGGAACCACCTGCACGTTGTTGGCGGCGTACCACTCCATGGCCTGTTTACCGTAATGGCAAGATGCCAAATCCGGCCAAAACAGTACGGAACAACCGTGTTTCTTCAGGAAAGGCAGCAGACGTTTATTCAAACACTCTTTCACGTAAATTTCTTGGTTGACAGTGCCGGAAGCTATGAAAATGCTGCTTTTCAAGCCACAGGTACAGATGGCTTGCCAAACCAGATATTTCTTTGCGAACTTTGACAGTTTCATGTGCTTGAAAACATCTGCTACCTTTCCCCTTCCTTTTGCCGTATAAAACTCCTGTCCCGGAAGCTGCTTGTAGTCGGCTTTGACGTAGGTTTCGTCGTCCATTACCACGCAGTCAAACTTCGTCAGCATCGTCGTGTACAGCCTCCGGGATCGCGCTTTGGCCGTCGTATTTTGTTTATCATCGCGATTTGGAGTCACTACCTTCTTGTAAGTCGATAGTCCGGCTCGTTTTTTGGCTCGATGCACGGTTGTAGACGATACACCCAGCTTATTTGCGGCATCTCGGAGAGAGAGGTTAGGGTTTCGCTTGAAACTACCGGCAACTCTCTTTGTCGTCTCAGTGGCTTCCGGTTTTCGATTTCCCCCCGATCCAGACTTCCTGGCTGTTGACAAACGTTCCCCAAACACTTTAATTACATTTGTAACGGTTGATTTGGCAACTTTTAGCGATTTTGCCAACTTTGCGTGCGAGTAGCTCGGATTTTCGCGATGCGCGAGCAAAATTTTGATACGCTGCTCTTCTTGCTTGGACGGCATTTTGACAACTGAAGAGTGAATTCCAAAATCAAAATAGGAACAACATTCTACACACACACACACCTTCAAAATGAGGGGTGTTCAGGTTTTTTAAATGCAAAATTGAAAGAAATACGTCAAGTTGATATTGACCAAATTTTGACCGTATCACCCTTTATTTGTTGGAAGTCAGCTTTGACGTATGTTTCATCATCCATCACACAGCAACTGTATCTTGTCAACATTTCCGTGTAGAGCTTCCTTGAGCGGGTTTTGGTAACAGTTTGCTGGCGTGCATCGCGGTTTGGAAAGTTTTGAACCTTGAATGCATGTAATCCAGCATTTTATTTGTCGCGAATCAGTATTTCAAGCCGCGCATTTCTTTTTAAGAATCGCGGATTTCGTGGATCAAATTTTGAAAATCTTGTAACAGCCCTGGATTTGCTTGGAGACTCACCTCACCCCAAGTGACAATTGTCACTTCACCATCACTTCACTGTCACCCCACATCACACTCCGCGCAGAATAGACATAAATGATTGTCAAATCTGAACTGGAAAACTAAATTTTCAGCGTTCAATAACATCTGACGGCACTGCTCCGTGCAACATCTAATTTCCAAAGCTATGCATCGCAACATGCACGAGCTTTGTCGTGCAACACGCGTTTGCGCATAAATCTACATCTTCCATCGCTTGCCGGTTGCCAACAACATTCTCTCTTTCGACATCGTTCGCTCTCTTTTATGTTGGGCTTCCCACTCTCTCTCTTTCTCTCTCCGTGTCTCTGTTTACTTGGCTGGGTGGTTTTTTGGCAAGCAAAACCATGGGAAAATTTCCTCCCGCAAACGCAGAGGATGCAAACATGCTGCGATGCTATGCTATGAGATGCGAGAGAATAATGGTTTGGGAGAGCGAGAGTTTATCGCTCGGGGCTGGTTGTTGCGATGCGAAATGCACCCACCGGCGATGTATTTGTGGGGAGAGCGAACGGCCAGCGTGTGTGTTGCATGGTGATGCGAATTGCTCCACAGTTTGTTGTCACCGTTGCCGGGAACACGGTCGATCAGACTGACTCAACATTTTGTTAGAAGTGAGTTTATTTTTCCGGGCAAAAGCCGTGGAAAACCGGGAAAAACTTCTCGAATATAAGGAAAATCCATAAAATTTTGTATACTCCTAGACTGAGTGAAACCTCATGTATTCGAGAAGTTTTTATTTTCTGGTAAAGCTCAATTTGGAGTCGGTCTGATCGACCGTGTTGGAGCTGATAGGTGGAGTTTTATGATGATGGAAGAGGGTTTGTTGTTATGCGCAAATAGGTGCGCTGTCGCTCGGAAGCAGAAGCATTGAAGAGAAAGAGCACCCTTCGGTGGCATACATACATCGCCGTCGTCGGGAGAGAAAATAATAATCGCAATTTTATGCTTTGGCGATGTGAACGAACTGGGTGATCCGAATGATGGCAGCAGCAGGTTGGATTCAGCTCACTCGAATTCCGGAGCCGAGAGGGAGAAAGCACCAAACACCAAGCGCAGAGGACGATTCAGTTCGGTGTTGACTTCGGTATCGATCGGTTGGATGGAAAATTGTGCGGACGGTGGATTATCACGGTTTTTTTTTCGGTGATTGTAGACCTATATGTTAGTGATCCCCAGGAGTAGCCCCGCTCCTCCAGTGACACCGTCCCCTAGAGGTAGAAAGAGTTTGTACTTGTGCTTACACGGCAAAAGTGACAAGAGAAGGACGATGGCATACGCCTGTGGTGGTCGTCGTTGGGACAACGGAACCTTTTTAGTGCGTGGATTGGATTTTCCATAGAGGCGACAGAGACTGCGGACAGAGACTGCGGACAGAGACTGCGGACAGAGGGTAAAAGGGGGGCTGCTAGAGCATAGGAAAAGTAGAGGAAAACAGTCGTAATTGGATTTGAAAAGTGAATACTCGCCTTGAGCGTGTGTGAATTCTTGTAACTTCTGATGGGTGCGTATGGTTCGAAAGTGGAAATTCTAGAAAAGTGCTACTGACACGTGTTTTCGGCAAGTTTCCTCGAGCAGAAGTTGTGTAAGGATCGTGTGTTGGGGAAACAAGTGACAATACATTAGTCATCGGCATCGTGGAAAACCAAGCGTCACATTTCGGTGGCATCCGAGTGAATGAAGAAAAAGGATTACCAGTGGATTTAAGCTACAGTACATTTGGATTATCTTCACTGGGTGAACTTTTGTTATGCTCATGAAGGGAAAACCTTAAAAGGTGAGTAAAGGTGGAAGGGAGAATATGAAAGCGAAAACAGAATGGTCCCGACAGCAAGACGGACTGACGGACGGACCTGTGCGTTGTTTATCGATTGTTTTTATTTTCCTTTCCCCGGCATCTGCTCTCTAGCTCCAGTATCTATAGCACGGTGGAGTACCCTTAGAATATCTTCGTACATAGGTACGGTGCTGTTTTTAAAAGCTGACTTCACTGTATCGGAATTTGATACAGTTCGATGGAGCTAGATAGAGCGGCTTGCACTCTATATGTGCGTGTTCTTTAGGTATTGGAGAAAATAACTAGCGTTTGCGTTGGTTTACGTTTGTTTATCTTTCCATAATGGGTTGATGTTATTGGGTAGGTGGATACAGCTACTATAAGTGCGGCTACCACACACGAATTTTTGCGCATTGATTCACTCTTAAGTAAAATTATTCTTGTTGACTTAAGTCTGAATAATATTCTACACCTGTTTCAATTTCACGCTCTAAGTGTATTCCTCTTTAAATTTCCATTCTGTATCCTGCTAAATTCCCATTCTGCATTCATTCCCAGCCGGGGTCGTTGGGATTTTCTGAGGTGAAAAATTTCGCTGGTAAGTAGAAGAAGGGAAGTTATGCCGCGGATACACTTGTATGATAAACTATGAGCACATCCATGGTCACACTTGTATGGTTTTTCGATGTGCTCATAATTTATTATATACATAATGCTCATATTCATAGTGTGCCATTCAAGTGTATCCATAGCATAAGTGCCATTCACAGAGGCTGAGATAGCAATATCACGAACTTAAATGATTTGTGTCTAAAATTTTAACTTAATTCATAAACTGTTCTCAGAAGAATTGTTCACATACATACTGTCCATAATTAAAAATTTATCATGGCCTACTATGTACTTATTGAAAATTCTAGTTTTTTTCTATGAAGAGATAGAATGGTAGTTTCCTCGACAAAATTGTAAAACTACTTAATTAAGCTCAACTCTCCACATCTCGATATTCTATAACTTGATATTTTCTATAACTCGATGGATTCAGTGGTCCCTTCATTTTTCCATATATCGTACTATCTATAAGTCGTTATTTTCATAACTTTGGTCGATGTTCTAGGTAATGTTAATTCGATTCTATAACTCGATATGTTAACGGAAATTCAAAAATAAAATCAAAGGAAATCTTGGAAAAATCATAACTGATGGTCATATTAAGTACCAAGGACGCATCGGCCACACCCGCACATGTCCTTGGTCTCTTTACGGTAATGGTCTGTACGTTTAATCCATGCCAGAACCTATAATGCGACACACAAAAACAGTTTTATTGAGTGCTCAGAGAGCTAGTACCACATCAAGTAGATGCACATTTTTTTGACGTAGGACTATACCCAAGTAACCAACAAGCCCGCTAATTCGCCTTTTTGCAATATAAGGCTGATACACGGCTAACATAGAGCATGCTAAATAAGCTTTATATTGGCCACATATTGGCCTTATATTGCAAAAAGGCGAATTAGCGAGCTTGTTGGTTACTTGGGTATGGGGGTACACTTTGTGAAAACTGAAAATGGAACATGCAACAAAATTATGATAGATTTTGAACATTGATAACTCAGCTGCCCCTGGACTCATTTTCAATAATTTTAACACCAATCGATCAGAAATATTTCTATGCATCGACAGCAATGCTTTCGACTGATGATTTTCAACAAGAACCTATTAAAAAGGGGTAAGCATTATCCAATGTACAAATAAAAAATGATAATTTTATCATTTTTTTTTTTTTTCATGAAATAAACGTTCTTCGCAAACCCAGTCGTCATAATCGAGTACCACTTGGTTGCAAATCATTCTGCTTTAACCTGTATAAAAGAGCGCTGCTGTCTAGCCATGGATGTCATTATGAATAGGTCATTAGACCGAATATTGAATGATAGTATTAAGAAACTGATTATATCTAGGAAAAAATGTTGGAGATCTCGGAGTGAGAAAATTGAAATGTTTGTCCCCAATGGATGTAATATCGGCCTAAATACCCCTAATTTGGGCCCATAAAAATTTTAGCAATCGACTAAACTTTCAATAGCGACCAAAAATATCCATTCGTACCGTCTCAATAACGTTCAACTACCGTATGCGTGATAATGTTTGCACCATTGAGCAATGTCAAAATTAAAAAAAATCTCAAAAATTTCGTTTTAGTTTTTTTTTTTATTTATTCAAAGGGGGGATCTTTCTCAGAGTCTTAAACTATGTTAATCATCGATCGAGGTTCCACTTGCTGCAATTACTGCCTCCACACGCTTCCGGAATGCACGGCAGGTTCTAATAATGTAGTCTGGATCCATTTCTCTCCAGGTACGGGTCAATGTTTGTCTGAGGCTTGCTGTACTCGGGTGGCGTTTAGAACAGGCCTTGGCCTTTATGACGCGCCATATTGAGTAATCCAGCGGATTAAGATCGGGGCTGGATGGCGGCCACATATTCTTCGCCCAGAATGGAAGATTTTCCTGCAACCACTTCTGAGTGCGGTTCTAGGTGTGGCACGAAGCCCCATCTTGTTGAAATACAATATTTGGCTTCGGACCGTACTGTTCTTTGATCCACGGAAGAACATACTTACTTAAATCCCGATGTAGACCTCCGTGTTGACCTTGTCGCCTTCTGGAATGAACACCGGGTCCATTTGTTTGCCATCGGAAGCCACCAATCCAAACACCATAACGCTAGCAGGATGCTTGGGCAGATACACGTTCTTGTGCTCGTCGGCCACGTCTTTTACTGGAAGAGAACTAATATACCGGTCGGTTCTGGAATTTGATACGGGATCGACGGTAAACATTGCTCTCGTCGGTGAACAGGATTACCGGATTTTTTCGCTTAAGGAAGTTCAAGATTTTCTTGCATCGTTCGACGCGTAGCTCCTGGATGCGGTTGGTAATCATGTGAGTTTTTTCCGTGCCCTCGACTTCGCCCCACAATCTTCCTTTACAATCTTAAGTCACTGATCCCGTGTTCCTTTGGCATTTTCCTTATTGAACGCACTGGATTCACCCAAATCTTCCTTTTGATAGCAGCGATAATCCTCGGAACCCGAGCTGACCTCGGACGACCTCTGGTCACCTTCGCGGATAGTTGTCCTTTCTTTTCCCGGTCTAAAACCCTTTTGACGGTCCACCGCGACACTCCTACGGCGATTGAAATGTCTTTTTGCGACATTTGCGCTTGGGACAAATCACGAATACGCTGCCACTTCGTCATGGTGCAGCTGTCAAACTAAGTAAATCATTTTCTTCTATACACAGCCTACTACGGTATGAGCTATAGGTTACGTGCATGCTAAGAAAACCAAGACATTGTATGCACAGGTGAAACGGGAACCTTATTTGTACGATGGTGCAAACATTATCACGCATACGGTAGATAAAATTGATAAATAGCAGATTTTTAGCGGTGGGCCCAATCCTAGATTCATAGGCCAACATTAAAGCCATTTCCCCTATGTACTAACAGAAATCTTCAAAAATTAGATTGAGAAAATTAAATTAAGATTCTGAGGCTTTGACAGCTGTAAGCAACATTAGACTAAGATCTTTTCCCTCAGATTTGTGATTTAGAAAGGAAAGCATTGGAAAACTTTTCAACAATCTGGGGCTGAGAGCATTGCTCAAAATGTGGAATTTTTTGAATTTTTTTTTTCAAGATCCCAGCCTAAACATAAAATCATTATTATGGTCCTGGAAAATTTTCAAAGCTCTTCAACTTGGAAGAGTTTTTCAGAGATCCTACAATTTAATTAATTCTGAGGAGAATACCGACGAAATTTTTAGAATAATTGAAAATGAATTTAAGTTTTAATTCCAAAGGAAGTCCTCCTGCTATTAAAATTAATTCTGTTAAAAGTCCGACGGAAGTTCAGACCAGGATTCCAAGATGATTCTGGGAAAATGTCCTAAGGAAGTCTGAATTCAATTCAAAGGTAATTCTTAGAATAATTCATTTGGAGTTGTGAGGAGAATTTCAACGAGGATTCCTATGTGCGAAGAGTTTTATGGTGATCGTAAGGAAAGTAAATTTTAAGGGTTATTCTAAAAAAAATGCAAGTAAATTTTTTGGATAATTTCAAGAGAGGGTTGACAAGAATCCAAAGACTATTATTGACAACATTTGAAGCGAAAATGAAAAAAATAACAAAGGAATCGAATTGTGAGGATAATTGCAAAAAATTAAGATATTTAAAAAAGGATCGTTTCAAGTAATAACTCCACAGAATTCGGAGGATTCCTGAGAAGAGTTTTGGTTAAAATTTTTAGGCTGAATTTTTAGGATATTTTCAATGGAATGTTTTTTTTTAATAATTACTTTAAATAATCAAATAATTACTCTAATGTTGGCCTATGGATCTAAGATTGGGCCCATCGTTAAAAATCTGCTATTTACAACGGGTATTCAACTCTGCACATCTTAACGCGTGCCAAGAGATTAAGTTGTGCCGAAAGCTGTGCCGAACGTATCGAAGTGTGCTAATTATTATGTCATGGGATATGAGTTTGGCAACCCTGAAAGTAATAATGACTTTTGAGATTTTGTTTACATTTTCAATTTTTCTGATCGTTCTTGACAAGCATTCAAGCATTATTTAATTTATTGTTTATTATATAGCAACAACACTGTGAATGTAGTTCAACTCTTGAAGATCCTGCTTTGATTTGTCGTTGTACGCTTCGAGATCGGATACCCACGACAGGATATCCTATAATTCGGACTGATAACATGATGTGGTTTGCGTTTCCTAGCGGATTAATCATCAAAGGCAACGGGCGGGTGGGCACAGGCGAAACCGTTGGTCGGTTTGACCAGCTTCTAGTCGGTGTAGTCGGTATGTACGAGCACTTTACGATGATAGGAGATCAGACTTCGTCAAAATTTTCTCCACAAGTGGAACAATTTTTATTGAGTTCACAGAATTTTCGTCCCTACAGGGATTTGTACGTGGA